AGAGATACATAAAAAGGGTTGACGGGCAACCCTCCAAAATGACAAAATCTTCCTGCTGGGAATGAGCCATAGCAGCAAGACGATCAGCACACATATTGCCCTCTCTGTAAACATGCTGCAAGTGGACATGCGGAAGATCCACCACAAGGGCTCTACAATTAGAAATGAGAGAACATAGAGGGTGATGATGGTCAGTCCCAGTGGAGAGTAACTGAAAGGCAATAAAGGAATCCACTTCAACAATTAAGGATTGAATATCCAGTTGTTTAGCCAAAAGAAGACCATCTCGAATTCCGCAGATTTCAGCAGCAAGGCTTGAAGCAATACCAATCTTCCTAGAGAAGCCTCTAATCCAACATCCTCTATGGTCACGAATAAGGCCTCCAGAGGTGGCTAGACCTGGATTATTGATGACTGAGCCATCAGTGTTAAGTTTAAAGGAGCCTGCTGGTGGTTTGTCCCATTTAACAAGTTTTTGTGTTGAAGAATGATTGCCAAATTTGGGACTAGGGAGAACAGATAAGAATTCAAAGATCCTTTCTCTAATAAACCGATAGATAACGTTGGGGTCAAAATCTTGATCACAATAAACTTTTTTGTTCTTATGAATCCAGATTGTCCAGAGAACAAAGAAAAAAAGAGAACCCCACGGAGCAGGAATAGTAAGGGCGTAGCTCTTTTTTGTACAGTTCCTCTGAATCCAATCAAAGAAAGAAGTATCAGTTTGGGGAAGTTGAAAATCATCTCTGAAGAAATAATTCCAAATCGGGAAGACTTGTGGACAGGAACTCATGAGGTGAGAACAAGACTCATGTATTAGAGCATAATGGACATAATGAGTTATCAAGGATGCCAATACAATGTAAATATTCAAAAGTCTTCAAGGGTTGGTGACAAAGAAGCCAAATGAAGTTCTGAATTTTTGGAAGAGCATGTAACTTCCAAATCCATTGCCAATTTCCCTTACAGGATAGGGGAATATTCTTAGCAATTTTATATGCTACCATAGAAGAGAACTGACCATTAGATGAACCCTTCCAAGCAAAAGAGTCCCTTCCGTGACGAGAGAAAGAAAATGGGGTAGCCTTGATGGTTTCTAACGTGTCTTTGTCCAAGGGTTGAGATATAATATCAAGATTACGCTTGCCTTGTGGGAAGACATTTGCAAGTGTGAGGTTCACGTCATTTGAGAGGAGGGGTCCATAGAACTTGGAGACGAGAGGATAGTCAGAAGCCCAGCAGTCAAACCAGAATAGGATGTCACTACCATCAATTGGGATCCATTTAATGCCTTGTAAAAAGAGAGGATTCCTTTTCCGGATATATCTTAGAATAGGCGAGCCATGTGCAGGAAGAGTCCTTGGTCTACTACCAATGTTATATTTGGAAACAATCACCTTGCACCACAATTTCTCTTTATCTGTGAATAATTGCCAATTTAACTTGGCCATGGCCACTAGATTGGCTTCCTTATAACTCCTTATACCAAGACCTCCCAAATGCTTAGGTACAGTAACTTGATTCTAGTTGATAGCATGTATCTTGCGATTTGAATCATTAGAACCCCATAAGAAATCACGTGATATTTTATCAAGTTGGTCATGGATTGAAATAGGTAGCATGCAGGATTGCATGTAATAATTAGGAATGGAAGCTAGGACAGATTGGACCAGAACATTCCAACCCGCTAAAGAGAAAAACTTAGCTTTCCAACCATCCAATTTGTTCCTGACTTTGTCAATGATGAAGGCATAATCCTGTTTTCTAGCTTTCTTGCTTGAGATTGGAATACCAAGGTATTTGCCCAAAGACTCAGTTTGTGAGAACCCGAGGATGTTACAAATAGCCTCTCTACGATCTTGGTTAACATTTTTCGAAAATAGAATCTTGGATTTATCTTGATTGATTTTTTGGCTAGACCTATAACAAAAGAAATCTAGAACATATTTTAGAAAAGCACAATTATCAAGAGTAGCCTTACCAATGAAGACAAGATCGTCAGCAAAAAAAAGGTGAGAAAGTGTAGGACCTCTCCGTCCCACTTTGCTACCTTTCCAAAGTCCCATGCTAAGACCTTTATTCATGGTAAGAGAAAGGAATTCTAAACATAAAACAAAAATATAAGGGGAAAGAGGATCTCTCTGTCGAATACCCCATGAAGGTAGAAAATCATCAGTGCGTTCTCCATTTAGGAGAACAGAACATGAGGTAGTGCAAATACATGACATGATGAGATTAATAAAATCTCGAGGAAAATTAAAGAAGATGAGAGTTTTTCTAATAAAACTCCATTCAAGACGATCATAAGCCTTCTCGAGGTCAATTTTTACAATGAAATCTCCTTCACGACCAGCACGTTTACTGAAAGCATACACAACTTCTTGAAGAATGATGACATTATCCGAGCTCTTTCTACCAGGGATAAAGCTAGCTTGGCATGGGGAGACTAAGTTGTCCATAAAAGGCTTGATTCTTTTAACAAGAATCTTAGATATAATCTTATAAGAAGTATTGCACAAACCAATGGGACGAAATTGGTGCAAGGATTCTGGACTACTCACTTTGGGGATTAAAGCTAAGAGGCACTCATTCCAGCCCATTGGAATGGTCCCAGTAGCAAAGGCTTAAATAATTTCAGGGCATATCTTAGCTTTCACAATATCCCAAAATTTCTGATAAAAAAAGGGGTGAACACCATCTGGCCCAGGAGCTTTAAAAGGTTTGATG